TGTGTTTCGTTCGTATGTTTTCATTTCATAAAGCGATTTCCTTAATACTAAATCAAAACGTGTCTTTCAATCAATTAATCGCCACTGTCAGTGATGTTGTTGCCAGGCTCACTAGCATTATATCATCTGTCTAATGTTTAGAGGGAGAAGGGTGTCGCGTTTCGACGTTGTAAAGCTCGCAGATTGAGCCGGTCCGCGAAATTGCGTAGGGCAGGCTGGTCTGCAACATTTCGTAGATTACTGCATTATCTTGTCGGCGACTGCTTATCTTGTCGCCGTTTATTTTCCATTTGACCATCCTTCTTTTATTTACCTTGCTGAGTGCATTATATCCGATTACTTTTTGATGTGAAACCGTGAAAAGTGAAACGGTTCGTAGTAGGAGTTGTAGAGAGAAAGTGGGCGTTTCCTTTGTGGCCTCGGAACGTTCTAGAAGGTGGACGGAGTTTTTGTGGTTTGCGTAGTGCGAGCCCTGGGTGTAGTGTTTCTCTGCCGCTTTCTTTCATTGTTGAATTCTGCCTTATTTTTGAAACTGCAGAGCGGCTTTCAGATACATTTCATTTCTTTACTTCACTCGCACTTATTTCCTTTGATTTTTGCACTTGTTGCAGCTTGCGGGCCTCTTGAACTTTCTTCCATGTCCTTGCCGCGAATGGCGGAGAGCACAGACAATTAGAGAACGGCGCCTGGCTCGGCTCCAAATCCCAAGGAGGAAGGTGAGAGCCCTAGGACTAAGCCTTGGGGGGGGAGGGACTCCGAGGTGGGTGAGCCAGTTACAGTGTGGCAAAGTTTGATGTGTAAGATCACAGTAGTCATGAGCCAGTTTGAGCAAGAGAGCGCAGGCGGGAGCACTAAATTGAGGCAGTGTAAAGGTCAGAGTTCTAGTAGTCAGTCGACCCTTGTTGCGAGATTTGGGGCACTGTGCGTGAGAGCTGTTACAGAAAACTGTCAATAGTATTGGGTGTCTTTAGAGCGAACTTGCTATTAAGATCCGTGTCAAACGATTTTACAGGAGCTATGCTTGAATTTCCATTGAATAAGTCGAGTCTTCTCCTTTTGGAACCTCAGCATTTCGTTATTGTGCATTCTTAGCGAGTGATATTATATTTGGCTGTCGTTATGCGGTTTAGCTATTGCATACAAGCACGTTCGCTGGTTATGGAAGTAAGTGGCAGTGCTGCATGAATGGTAGAGACTATTTCAATAGACATGCACCCATTTCGGTTGTTCTAAAAGCAAATAGCATGCAAGGACAGCAAAGCAATATCATTCTCTGGATGTGTACTGGTTCGTTTCGCGGTGGGAAAATGTGCGTTTATCTTGTCAGTTCTGGGAATTTTCGTGCGTCCCTCCCAGAAATCAGAAACGCTAGAGGGGAGGAGGCACTTGGCAGAGTAGTGTGCAAATCTTGAGATTTCAGTCTTGCTTAAGCCTTTTAAAGGGTCAGGACGGTCGTTAGCCAAAACAAGTTTCTCACACAAAAACCTCGAGCAGTATTCTGTCTTAAATATGAGAACTCCTCGCATCAACGGTCACAATGATGTGTGCGTCACACAAGGCGTCCATAGCTGTTTTATCACTGTTTCTCTTCCTAATTGCTCTCTCAAAGATGGAGCTTTTTGCTGTCCTTTGGTGTTTCTTAATTAGGTCGTCCTGTTGAAACGGTTCTGGTTCTGGCTGGTCTTTTTTTGTCATTAATCCTAACCTGACTGTCATCGAAACGTCAGTTTGTTGAGATAGCTTGAGTAGGTGTATCATCGTGGTATTCAATCAATGATTATATTAAAGTTGATGCAAATGTTAAGAAAGACGTTTTTGCGCACGATATACGCGCTTCAAAAGATTTCACAGGGGGCGTTGGTCGGAAGTCGCCATCTGTACATGAAGTGAAGTTTAAGCTTTAAAATAACCATTTTAGACAAGGAGATCAGGGGCTTCAATTATTCACTCTTTTGTAGGACAGTGGTCAGCATCTCTTCTGAAAAAAAAAACTAGTATTGCCATTCTTATTTTCCGTTACATCTTGTTCTTGGCCAATTTTGGTAGAACTCGCGAAAAGAACTAGACACAAAATTGAATGGTTTGACTTGGCCCAAGTGGAGTCTTACAGACTTCAAGGCAACTACTCTTGTGCCAACGCTATCATCATTTTTGGTTTAATTCTAACCACATGAATTTAGCCACTTCGAAAGCTATGTTTGTTGGGCTGTTTTTGAATGTCACTCCACCATCATCTTCCAAACGACGTCATAAACGTGAGCAACTCTCTCGCCATCCTTCGTTCACTAGCTCATCTATCTTGTATCCATGTACTTTTGTTTTCATGCCTCACTGTCTGTGGCATCGGCAGAAGGCGTGGCGATTGTCGGGCCGGCGATTCCCTCTTCATCGATTCCCCCTCGCACGTCGCCGCATTACTTTTTCAATGGTCTTTGAACGGACCTGGCCCTTTACATCCTTATCGATTTTCTGGAGCGGTATGAATTTGAGTGCTCCTATTTCAGTGCCTTCGAGTTGGACTGATAGGTATAACTTATATGCGACATTTATGCGAAACAACTTGAATATCTTCGTCACAGAGATTTAGGTGATTATTGAGTCAGGTGTAAGTTTGTTGACAAGGCTTTGCAATGTGCAGGTTTTTGTTAATCATATGTCCAATATCCCACGTTCTCTTTATTTCGGAACTGGATCTGGCGACAGATTCCTTCGACGGACTATTTGTTCTGAACAAGGTTGAAGCAATGGATTTCCTTTTTTACATTGCCTCAATCTTTTCTGTTTGTATCCGCGTTATGCGGAAAAAACGGCTTCTATCTTGGAACCACGAGTCTGCATTCTTCTGAAGCGCTGCTGAAGCTCATGACCGTGGAAGGTTAATTTTTGCGGGATTCTGGTTTCTATTGCACCTGTAGGTGGGAAATACTTCTCCTATCCATATCTGGGATGCAGTCTTCTACTGGGTTGCTCCTCCTTTCAATTACTACTGTCATTTTATGTGTGGGTAATAGAGCAACGGTAGTGTGTGGTTTTTCTCATGAGGGGTTGAAGAAGGAAAAAAATTTGAACTGGGAGAGGTCTCGCATTTTTTCAGCCAGCTGAACAAATGCTGGATATACGTTTAGTATTAAATAAGGGAAACTGAGCTGGTATTTTTTGTTGTAGTTCCATAGAATGGTGGCAGAAAGTAACATTAAACTTTTGTACCAAATGTCTAATCAGAAAGGTTGAGAGGATAACACTGCCCTAATATCGACCTTCACTTGCCAGTTTATGGCAAGCGTCTATTTGGGAAATATTTGGGAGTGGAATGGTTTACTGCCTAGCTAAAGCGAACCGAACGAACTGCTTCATTTCGTGCATTTTAAATAGTAGTTCTAGATTTCTCTTTTTTTTGGTTCTCACCTAGTCATGTCAATAATAGCTGTTATTCTTGGGACACCACGAGAAGGTTTGAAGCTTTCGTGGCAGTTTTTAAATTCGTTGAATCTTAGTGCAGTAAAACAAATTTCATGTAAGCATCAACAAGTTCACTGTTGACGGCGTCGTAGCTAATTAAAGCGGCGCCGGCACCTTTTCAAATCGCTTTCATTGGCGCGCGAAATCGAATTCCTGCTAGAGTGGGCGACCTCGACGCTGTGCCTGTGTTTGTTGTTGATACAGAATTGTAAATTTCCTAAACTTGAGTTTGGTTTTTCACCAGTACGCTAAAGTTCCAACAAGAAATTGATCGTCGTTTCCTGCTCTAGGACATCTTATTCACAGGCGCGAATCTTGGCTTAGCAGATGTGCGTTCAAGACGCTCTTCACATGTTTATATTAGGTCTTATTCAGTCGTTGACCCCTCATTGATGAGCGCAACGTGTCTATCTTGCCCATCCATTATTCTTGATTAAACAAGAATTATAGTTGCACCGCTTGGAATAGGAGCGGTCTTGGAAATAATTTTTTATTCGTGGGCCTCAGGACGACTCTGGAAGTTAGTTTGAATCATATCAAACTTGAGGTAAATCAGTATCACTAAGATTTCCAGTGGAGGCTGGATTTTTTAAATGACTATTATTTTTGGTATATTTTAATCCAAAGTAGACCAATTTTGTTAGAATGCAGTATTATTGCGACTTCAGTCTTCGAAGAGAGATATTCCTTAAATTGTACAAGCATGACCTTATTTAGTCCGACCAGTTCCTCTTTCTTTCTAATCTCAAGCTTTCCATATTTATTCCTGGCGAGCACCTACATACTATGGATATTGGGGAATGATTATTTGTTCCTCTATAGAAGTGACTTCATCTTATTTAGGTTTGCTTGCGATTTTCATTGGGGAGTGATAAGGTATGAAGGAACTTGCGCTCGGCAATAAACACTCACTTTTGGGTTGCGCCCCACACTCGATTATCTCTCTATCAGGTATTGTAGTGGCAGGAATGCGATTTCGTCTACAGTAACTTGCGCCGGTCAACCGATGTAAAAATAGTACCATATACTCTCCAGACTCGTCTATAATCAGTTAAGCGATCTCAGAAGAATGAGAGCGAAATCGGCTCGGGTTTGTCTCTCACCACCTACGCCTTATTCTTTACTATTGTTTGAAACATTCTCGTAGCATGAGAGTATCGAAAGTTAGCTTCGTGGTAATTTATTTGTGTAGAGATGCATTCATTTTATTTCAAGTGAAACTCTTTCTTGAAAATCGATGCGATTTTCGAAAGTTGCGGTCGCTCTTTTGTTGAACCGCGTTGTCGTCTTCGTGGATATTGGCGGCGGTATCGATTGGCGTGGGAGGGGCCATCGTCAACTGGCAGGTGGACGGATCGTTCGCTCATTTTCAGGCATCGTTGAGGGTGTTGTTTTTCTCATGCAGTTGCTTTCGTTTTGTGAAATAGTGTCCTTTGTTAAGAATATTTAAATGCGAAAACAGCCCTGTTTTTGTTTTGGATAAGAATCGAGTGCGTGTAGTACTGTCTTGAAAACAACTTTTGCACTTCACACCTGTGATTGCTCATGGAGTTTTTCGGCGTAAAGTTGCTGCATTTTGTTAAAAGTCCATACATCGCTTTCTTGACATTTTGGTTTCCTATTTCTTCTTTTTTCGAATCAACGTCCTCCCGCGCGTTCATATCAACGGCGTCTATCAGCGCGTCCGTTGGTATGTCGGCGCGGTTCTGTGTTGTCCAAATTTCATTAGTCACCCATTCTTTGGATGAATTGACCTAAATTTTTATGGCAGAACCTTGGCGATGGAAGACCTATCTGGGAGTCAAGTATTCTTCGTGCAATAACAGAAAATTGATTATTTTATTTACAACTCGTTGGTTTACTTTCATCTCTGTCGTGATTGCGTCGTTCGATTTGCTGTGAGTATATCCACTCCATCGTCTCGACGGTATTCATTGATTCGGGGCATTTGTCAATTGTTGCCTGGAAACTTATCGCTGCGGATCACTAATTGCTTGTTACCGGCTAGAATCAGTTTTTTCGTATCAAGCATTTTAACAGCTTTTATTGGAGTTCTCTGCTGATTATCTTCTGCGGCGGCACTGATCATTATAGGCGCCGATTAGAGCGAAATTGCATTTGCAAATGGTTCCTTAAGTGTGCTGACGGGTTTATCTTCGACGATAGCATGCGTCAGTGCTAACCGCGGAGGCAGAAATAAAGACCAGAATGCGCTGTAGAATGGCTAGGTTTCGTAGTCTCTGAATCCGTTGTTAGACCGCTCACATTGTTCTCAAAGGTCGCAGTCAATTTACGACCTATCGCTGGCAAAGACATCGTCTGTCATAGCAACGCTTCGAGTCGTAACATGTGAAGAGGAGAACAGCTTGGTTGGTTCTCTGTCTCTTTTGTTTTGCTGTCCATTTCCTTTGGATGTTGAGAAGTAACTCCGTCCAGTTTCTCCATGCGTTTTAATTTATTGCTTGTCGTACCGTCGCTAGTTTTGCTGTTCTGATTCGATAACTTCGATTCTGCCGATTCTTAGGTCGATTGAGCAGCGTTCAGTTTCTGTGACATTGAGAATTATCATCGCAGCGATTAGATTCTGGTAATCGAAATCGCCCTTTCTCTTACTGCTTAGTTGCTTTTTTGGAGATATCTATTTCTTAGAAGTTGGTGAAGCCTTGTTACACTAGGCGTGCGTTGTTCTCACTGACCTCACTTCGCCTACCACGTCTTGCTTTGCTTGGGCATCTGGGAAATCGATGTAACTGAGAGTTCTTTATTTCTGGAGGAAAGTGCCGTTCAGTATTTTTATAGCCACCAGTTTTGTGGCTGTGCGCTTTCCCCACTTGTCCTTTCTTTTCCTGCCGTTCATTTCTTTCTTTTTGTCCCCTAGCTTTGCATTTATAGATCTATATATTTCAGTGTGACATCGATTTGGGTCGTGGGTTGTAATTGTGCCAGCGTTGATCGTTAGTGACGAATGCCAGCCAATCGGCTTTGAAGTTGGCAATTCGCCCGCTCGCAGCCGGAATCGCGTCAGTCTGCGTGTCTTGCCGTCAGCGCAGTGACTAGTCATCGCTGTCCGGTTTCCATTTTGCTACCATGCACGTTTCAATCCCCACTTGTGCACTCTTGTTTCGCTCGTTGAGCCTTTTGATCGTTTGTGCGTAGACTTCTGCACCTGAAAACACGCCGTGTATGTGGTTTGGTATTGATTAGAATGGCTTGTGGGTGGCGGTAATGGTATTGTTTGCAGTGAATCATCCGCAGCATCCGAATTTCGTCACGTCTAATTGAAATAATTTTGAATGGAATTCGCTTATAACGAACAATATCAATGGGTCTTGTGGTGGTTTACTTGTTATAGGAACGTTAGGGTTTTTTTTTCGCCTAAGCGACTTTGTAGATGTCAGAAGTTGTTTAGAGATAGCGAAGTGTAAAGTATGGCTCGTTGTTTCTGCGCGATCTGATTAAAGGTCATCGAATTTTGTTCTCGAAGTCATTCGTAATTCGTTCTTCTTTGAGCCCTAGCGGACTGGAATTGCTCCCTAGCAAAGTAGGATTCCCTTTTTGTGGATAGCAAATTGAAGCTGTAACGGTGTCAAATATACTCATTCGTGATTTTGTGGACTGGGGAAAGTCAAAGTATCTTTAGGTTACAGCGATTCGACGATTGACCCAAACTTTGTACTTTGAACGTTAAACTATTTTTACACTTTTTTCATTATTACTTGTTTACTTTTCGCCTTTCGTTTTCGTCTAGCATCGAATTCTCTAAATACATCTTGGTACAACTATGTTGTGCAGGGTATTTGATTGACGGAATCTGGCCGGCAGATCGCTCTTATGACGCCCGCTCGTTTGCTCCTCACTGTTGCTGTCCAGAGATTAATTGTAAATTGGGCGACCCAGGTTACGCTGCGCCATGGTGTGGCCTGTTTGAGGGATTGCGGAGACGAAAAATACGTGTTCTGGTTAGATAGCATCTGTTTGGAACGGTTCTTGGTGCAATCCCGTCACGCTTTGTTATTTGGGATGCAGAAGTAGTAGTTTCGGTGGGAAGGCTTCTGTTTCCATACAGTTAATATTCTATTTACAATGGTCGTTTTTTTTTGAAAAAATGTTTTTCTGACCTTGGTGTTATGTTCTGTTTTTCTTTTGTACTTATGTTTTCAACTCTAGTTCGTGTTTTCAACGAGGAAGCAGATTCGCCGCGCGTAATGCTTCTGTTGATTTGGCGGTTCGTGGTTTTTTGTTGACGCAGCACATGTTTCACGTACTGCGCTCTCTTGGGAGCGTTATTTATCCTACGTTCTGTGAACCTTCGGTAAAGATTGCTATCAAACTATCCTTATTTCTCTAGACGACTGGTCTTACATACGAGGACGTAATCCATATGCTCTTTGTCAGGAAAATTTCTATTTGTTTGGCCTTGAGATTGAACGCGTCATAGCTGTTTGCACGTACGATTTCGTTGCGTACGCTGTCGCTAAAGTTGCCATTTGTACTCAGGAATCATCATAAGCTATTTTTGCAGGTAAACAGCCTTCATCATGTCCACTCGTAAGACGAAGACAACTCGCTCTTCAGGACCTATTAGAACTGAGGTCAGCTTCAGCACCACCTCCTCATCGAATGCTGGCGATGATTCCTTGTAAGTATTGTTCAATGTGAGTGTAATATTTCCTCTGGCCTGGTTTCTATTTAATTAATTCCAGCTCGTCGCTTCTTGAAAACACCAGAACGCAAGAAAAAGAACAGCTCACAGGGCTCAACAGTCGTCTTGCCACTTATATTGATGTGGGTTTCCTTAACGAAGTTGAATTGTTGGGTCGGTGTCAGCTGCGGTTAAGAGTGGGATCAATGGAAACTTTTTGTTACAGAAAGTGCGTCAGTTAGAGGCCGAGAACAGCCGTCTCACCGTGCAGATCAAGGACATCGAAATAATCGAGAAGAAGGAAAGAAATAACCTCGCTGAACGCTTTGAAGCCGAGCGTGTATGTTTTTAGTCAACTTTAACCCTCTCCTTTTTAAGGGCCAGTTTTAGATTCTTCAGGGGAGAGTTGAATGGGTTATTATACATCAAGCAGTCGAGAAAAACATCGGGATCTTTGTAGAAGATTACGGAAGCCATTTCAAATTCGCGTCTAACCCAGCCCATTTGAAAACATGTGTCTTGTCGTTTGTTGTAGGGAAGACAGCCAGCACCACAGCAATGAACAACATCATTAAGTTGCGAGACCTATCTGTCATTGTAATAGGTTGTTCCCTAGCTCGGGGAATCAACTTGCGCACGAGTCAATGCTGCACTTTAAGCAGTCCTTGATAGAAGCATGTTGATACGAAAGAAGTTAGAAAATTAAAAGGAGCACAAAATTTGCTTTGTCGTGTTGTTTTTTTTTCATGTGCCAAGGGGCCAGGTGAGTGGAATCGCTCATATTTCTTACCATGTGCTGGAATGGTTTTTTGCCCAAATTGTTCGGACTTCCATATTTCGGGATTCATTGGCGTAGAATTTGCGAGAAAGGGTGGGACTGATTTTTATGGTGGCTAGCTTACGGTATTCATTGGAACTTTCGGTGGCTACTTCCCGTCCGGAGTGGAGTTCAGAAGTGTGCTGTGTTTTGTGAGAGCTGGTGAAAAAAGTCACTTCAGAGTGCAGAAAATGGAACGCCTTGTAAAAGGTTCCGAATGTGCTC